TAATTGGTTGCCTTTTACTGGTGGCTTGTTAAAACCAATAAATCCTAATGAAATATGTCCCAAAACACACATCAGAAAACCATGTTTTAATGGTTAAAAGTTGATTTGGTTTGTAATGTGTGTGTAATGGTATTTGTAGTGGAAACCATTAGAATTTCTATTGTTTTTTTCACTCTAGCATCCATTCTCCAAACCGTTTATCCTTGATTTTCAGTTTTGTTCAAGGTAATTAAACCGTTTTTAATAACTAAAGTTTGGTGTTTGTGGTAAAAAGGTGCCCTTGCTGTGGCTAAACGCACAATAATTAACACGATAGTAATGTATAGCTGGATGACTTTTTAACATGTTGACTTGTTGGTTGGATTAAAAAGGTTAATATAAGAGATAATCACCATATTTATAATGAAACTCAAAATATATGAATCAATGTATTCATTGTTACTTCAGTAAAGCCATATTAAATGCTTTTATTTATCAAAATAAACAGAAAATAGCTGGCAAAAGCACATTTTCCTTAAAACATTAACATGAAAACATTATTCTGAAGCCATATCTTAATAAAGAAGACCCGATCTGACCAGGTAAACATGACACACAGGTGTTTGCTGTTCCTCGTGTTGTTGTAGTTGTTTTTTGCTTCCACAGATGAAGGCTGTGTGCTTCGGTGCATTAACACGACTCTGTTTCATGATGATCGCACACTTGGCTCTCATGGCATTAAACACAATGATGTTATTGAGGGGTTTATGCCACCACCGTTCCACGAAGGTATGTATTACAACAGCATTTGGGATTATTCAAAGCATCTCTTTATAGTCTTAAAACTGATCTTAGATATCATAACAGAGAAGGCCGGGGCTAGTCGTCACAAAGTCCACAAATGCTTGTTCTCTCTAGCAGTGCTTTTTAATAGGGATATCATTTAGTTCTATGCTTATGAATCTGTCATGAATATCAATTCAGATATCAGATCAAATATTAGAAATAAAAGTTTTACACACAGTTTATTGAATGTCAGCCTAAACATTGGTTTGTTCCATTTTTAGTACAATCGTTGTCATGTAAACACGCCCTGAATCTATGGAAAATTGAACTCTTAATATTAATCTAATTTACTTCATTACTTTCTCAATGTAAATAGTGTAGTATAAGATGGGGTTTTCATGTCTCTGTACATTCATATGCAAATATTGTTTATGACCCTTTTTTTGCTTACATTTATTAAAACACACATGCACTTGAATGTTTTTATTTTGTGAGAATAGTCTCCTTCCTTGTCCTCACATTGGTTAATCAGTGTAAAGATTCTATAAATAATGTTTATAATGTAAATTTAATAATGTAAATAATAAACCGTTTTGCTAACTTCCATTATTTCTTCCAAGATTATTATTATTTTATTTTTTTTGACACTTGAAAACACCTTTAATGACCTTTTTTAAAACAACTTTTAATTAGATTGTGTGTGTGTGTGTGTGTGTGTGTGTGTGTGTGTGTGTGTGTGTGTGTGTGTGTGTGTGTGTGTGTGTGAGTGTGTGTGTGTATTCATAGATAGATTACATGGTATTAGTTAACTTTTTTTTTTTCTTGGTCTGTCTAACAGACTCTAATTTAAGAAAACAAATCTTACAGCTTCTGACGGATCATTTCTTGCTCTGTTCCACAGAATCTCTCTCAGAGCTACATTCATGTGAAGTGTGTGTGTGTGTGTGTGTGTGTGTGTGTGTGTGTGTGTGTGTGTGTGTGTGTGTGTGTGTGTGTGAGTGTGTGTGTGTATTCATAGATAGATTACATGGTATTAGTTAACTTTTTTTTTTTCTTGGTCTGTCTAACAGACTCTAATTTAAGAAAACAAATCTTACAGCTTCTGACGGATCATTTCTTGCTCTGTTCCACAGAATCTCTCTCAGAGCTACATTCATGTGACGGTGAATACACAGGTGAATTCACAGTAACTGTCTTCTAACTCTTGAGATCAGCTGAAGTATAATATCAATCTAATTTACTTCATTCACTGTCAAACTCTGAATGTCAAATACTTGATTTATATTAAACCCAGTGCAATGCCCCAGTGGAGATGTGTATTACTACAGTATTTGAAACTAATTAAAGCATCTCTTTATAATCCAAAACTAACAGACCCATCATTTTAGAGGAGACAAAGGCCAGTTGTTGTTGTTTTTTGAGAGTTTGGCACAAGGTCTGTATATCTCAGTGATTAGTTTTGAGTCAAAAGTCCACTTTTTTTTTTTATTCTAGTGATAATATGACACCATATTCTCTAGATATTCACTGTATATTTGCCCAGTGAGCAAAAACAGTTTAAAGGTTGAAAAGCTTTTTGAAATGTCAGAGTTTGTATTACGCTCTTTATTATGTCATACAGGGCCATACTAAAAAAAAAAAAAAAAAAAACACTTTCCAGAAATGTTACAAACCCTGAAGGAGTGTTTTTGGCACAGAAATACTCCGTCATATGTCCAACTGTTTTTTTTTTTTTTGAGACTTTGGTCATGTTTAGCATGAGAATCCAACTCTTTAACAGTGTAAATAACTCAAAATGCATGAAATAGCATTAGATCTGCCCTTTAAAGGAACTGATAGACATATTTATGTCAGCAAAAATCATTCAGCTTCTGACAGATCTTTTGTTGTTCTGTTCTCTCACAGAACTATTTCCATATGAGCCTCAAGATGATAATTATTATGAGCCTGAAGATGAAGATGATGAAGTACAAGGTACACAATGTGCATATGACCCTGAAGATGATGATGATGATGAGGTTGAAGATGAAGATGATGAAGAATGTGCTAAAGGAATATCCAGGACTGAATCAATTGAGAAAATAACTCTGAACGTGTAAATGCATTAGACTCACACTGAATTCACAGAGGAAGCTTAAAGCATGTTACATTATTAATTAGTGCAGTGCATCACTGATGAAACAGAATTATAAATATATTTGTAGAAAACTGGTTAAGCTTCAACTAATAGAAGAAACACTTGAAAGTTGTTTTGACCTTTTATTTTCACCACCATATATTCCACAGTATTTCACTCGAGGCTTGAGCACATCGTTTGTGGTCTGAAAGAGGGCTTATAATAAAAAATAATTTACAATAATAAGGAAATACAACACAGGACATTAGAATGTACTAAACTGATACACGTGGTGCATAGAATGAGTGCTTCCTCAGACAATGATCCGCATCTGCAAACAAATGTACAAAATCTCCGACTCCTTTAAGTAGCTAACATTAACATGCCAAGCGTGGTATGAATTCAGAATGCCCATGCATCATTTGATCATCAAACACAGAAGCATTCACACTGTGAATAAACATGCATTGAATGTGATTATTGGTATTTAATGTCTACATTTATGCACATACACATAGGGGAAGTTTCACAGACAGAGCTTAAGCCTAGTCCTAGACTAAAATGGCCCTTGAAACCAGATGAACAGAAATCTGCTTTCTCTGTCATGGTTCTAAATAGTCTTAGACTCAGTCTAGTCCAGAATTTAATAAACTGAATTCCTGGAGGAAGACTAGAGCTACTTCAGGACTAAATTAAGGCTTAAATTAAACCTATCAGGAGGCAGGTTTAACTTCAGATTAACATTGTGTTTCCAGTCTTTATATATCAAAAGTATTGGCACCCTTGAACAAAGAAGCCTGTGAGAATAAATCTGCACTGTTAATCATTTTGATCTTTTATTTAAAAAAAAAAACTCTCATTAAAGTAAAATGGAAGGGAAATCTCATTATAAAAGAAAAGTGTTTCTCTAGTACATGCTTGCTACAATTAATGGCACCCTTTTATTCAATGCTTTTTGCAACCTCATTTACAGCTCTTAGGAGTTTCCTCCTATTATTGCCGGAAGAGTTTGGAGAGCCTTCCTTAATATAAATCACTCCAGATCCTTCAGATTCATGATAAACTCTCTCCTCTTCAGTTTTCTGTAGGGTTCAGGTCAGGAACTGGGGAGGCCATGACAGAACCTTCGTTTTGTGCTCAGTGACCCATTTTTGTGGTCCTTTTGGATCATTGTTCTGTTTGAAGATCCATCCACGGCCCATTATAAAGCTTTCTGAGCCCAAGACTCAACTATGTTCTGCAATTCTCCAGCTGTGATCCTTGGAGAGTCTTTGGTCACTCAAACTATCTTCCTCACGTTTCATTAAGACAATAGACAATATACTGATGGCAGATTTGTAACATTTCCTGTTGATTGGAACTCCTTAATTAGTGTCCTAATGGTCAATGCCTTAGCTCTTTTTCTTTTTTGTTTGGACTTTCTATTTGGGTGTCAGTCGCAAAAATTGTGATACTCTCCAAAATGGCACCAGGGTGACACAGAGACTTGAATAAAGTCGTTATTGTTGTTTTCTTTGCACACAAAAAGTATTCTCGTAGCTTCATAAAATTACGGTTGAACCCCTGATGTCACATGGACTGTTTTAACGATATCCATACTGCGCTTCTGGACCTTGATCGTGGTAGTACCCTTGCTGGAGGGTCAGAGAGCTCTCAGATTTCATCGGAAATATCTTAATTTGTGTTCCGAAGATGAACAAAAATGTTATGGATTTAGAACAACATGAGGGTGAGTAATTAATGACAATTAAAGTCATTTTTGGGTGAACTATCCCTTTAAGCATAATGTTATGAAAATGAAATGCAGCCTAACTCTAGGCATATTTAATATAACACTATAAACAGTATTGTTATTTAAGATTATAAACACACACACACACACACACACACACACATAGCTTGTACATAAAAACAAAGAAAAACACTTTCGGCTGGAAAACGTGGGCGGAGACTATCTCTGGGCAAATGTTACAGTGAAAGTAAAACTAAACACAGCAGCACATTGTTCATTTTAAACTAATTTTAAATTCTGCATTAAATTTGCACATGCAAAATGCAAAACTACATTTTTATTAAAGAGCTGGACAGAACAACAAGAGCAGTAAGTGTGGATTCAGAGGAGGAACTGAAGAACATGACTGTTGAAGAGTTCAGAAGAAGATTCAGTCCCGAAGACAAATGTGAGTCAAACACTTAAGTGTTCAGTTTCTACAGTTAATTTGTCACGTACGATATAATTCATATAAAAACAACATTAACTATCATATGTGGAAATGATATAAACATGAGAAAAATTAGTATCAGCATTAGAATGTCGATTCAACAGCTCACTTAAAAGGCACTGAACATTTACATTTAATCATTTAGCAGACGCTTTTATCCAAAGCGACTTACAGATGAGGACAATAGAAGCAATCAAAACTAACAAAAGAGCAATTATATATAGCATTGTGACAAGTCCTGTTTTTTAAAATAAAATAAAAAGAGTATAGTAGGCTATAGATAGAATAGAAGTATAGATAGAGGTAGTGTTAGAGGATCAAGTTTTTGTACAATAAATAAAAAGAAAACGAGTAGAAAAAGAACAGAGAACGCTAGAGTTAGAGGGTAATTTTTTAAGTAAAAAAGAAAACAAGATAGAATAGAAATAGAATATAGAGGGCTAGTGTTAGGCTTTTACACTAGTGTGTTTTCATTTTAAAATGCATAACTTTTGCTACAAAAATGAGACTTTCGAAAATGCTGCACTCTGAAAACTCCGAAGTGCATTTCAGTGAAATGACCGAAACTGAGACTTTCGTAAAGGATGTGGCTGTCCACATTCGCTCTGCTTTTCCTTGATGACCGAGTTAACAATAGCATCATGCAGAGTTGCTGACTCTCACGCATTTGGCGTGAGACACGCTTTTCAGGCTCTGTCTCGTGTAAATCTCACGCCATGCTTGTGTTATGACAAACACTAAGTTAAGTCCTATAAATATATCGTCTGCAGAAAGCGTAGGACCATACAATGTTCGTCCAATCAAACTGTTCGGTCCGAACATTACGACAGGCTGTCCAGCCTGCTTGTCAAATATGTATTTGCATATCTCTGCGCACCTTGTTTGTGCAGACATGACGTCATCAGTGCGTTCCAGCAAGAATGAAACGCATATAATGCACTTTGCACTGTAATGTTTTCTCACTGGTGAATGAGGCATGAGGTAATCTGACAGTGTTGCATTCATTCCTCCAACAGTGTGGTCTCTCATCGTATCACAGGTTAGTCTCTGGTCTGCCGGAGTGCGTTTGTGTGTTTTGAGGGAGGCGTGGCTTAGCAGAGGGATTATGCAGAGAGGGTGGAAAGAATCAAGTGTAGCATCCCATTGGTTGACAATCATATAAACATTCATCGCGCTAGATAGAGTCAGTTTGCTGACAATTCCGGAGTTTCGGTCAAATACATGCTTATTTCACAGTTTATAAAACATACAATATGCTTCAAATGATCGTTCATATACAGTATGTGACCCTGGACCACAAAACCAATCATAAGGGTAAGTTTTGTCTTCTGAAAGCTCTCCATTGATGTGTGGTTTGTTATGATAGTTTAATATTTGGCAGAGATACAACTATTTGAAAATCTGGAATCTGAGGGTGAAAAAAAATCTAAATATTGAGAAAATCATCTTTAAAGTTGTCCAAATGAAGTTCTTAGCAATGCATATTACTAATCAAACATTAAGTTTTGATATATTTACGGTAGGAAACTTACAAAATATCTTCAAGGAACATGATCTTTACTTAATGTCCTAATGATTTTTGGCATAAATGTATAATTGTGACCCATACAATGTATTGTTGGCTATTGCTACAAATATCCCCCAGCGACTTAACACTGCTTTTGTGCTGCAGGGACACATATGTGAATTTTAAAAAGTGAATATGTTACATCCTTTTTTAATGATACTTGTATAAGTACACACAAGTGAATATTATCGAATGCAAGCAAATACTGAATTTAACCCAAGAAAAGTTTAGAATTGTGCTAAAAAGGGCATTTAACTGCATTCAACAAATATTTTATATGTGCACTATATACATATGAATTGATATTGAATCGAGATCAAAATCCCCCCCACCCCCACCCCCCCCAAAAAAAATCTCACTCCAAGCTGGACTTAAAAGTTGGCAACCCTGCATCATGCTCATTATGAACGGTCATGAGACATGCGTGTCTGGTTGAGTAGTGTGCACGGAGATGGTCTCTGAAACGCCAGTGTAGACGAGGATCGTTTTCATTTCAAAAACGCACGTGTAAACAGGGCCTTAGAGGGTCAAATGAAGATGGCAGAGATGTGTTTTAGCTGCTTCTTGAAGATGATTAAGGACTCTGCTGCTCGGATTGAGTTGAGCAGGTTATTCTACCAGCAGGAACAAATAGAAGTTTGCAAATAACATCTGTTGGATTTATCTGTTGTTATTTTACTACAGTGACCATATTTTAACATATATCACAGAAAACCCTCTTGATACATCTTCACCTCTTAATGAGGTTGATGCATTAATGTTTGCTGTTTCTTACGCAGCTGCTGTTGTTGTATTTCATAGTGGACCTCAGATTTATCTTCGAGGGCAGACAACTGGAGGTGGGTCGTACACTTGGCTCTTATGGCGTACTAAACGAATCTACTATTCATGCAGTTCAACGTCTACGTGGTGGAGGTATGTAACAAGAGTGTTTAAAATGATTTAAAGTCTCAGATAATCGTATTAAAACTGACCCTTCATGCTGTCACACAAAACAGATGCTTGTTTTCTCTAGCAGTGCTTTTATATTCAGGACACTCAGTATACATACAGTTTAAAATGACAGCTTTCTATTTTATATACTTTTGAAAGTCAATTATTTCTGTAATGCAAAGCTGAATTTTCATCAGCCGTTACTCCAGTCACACAATCAATTTAAAGGGGTCATGAAATGCCTTTGTTTTTTTTAAGTCCACTTATAATGTAATCAAAATTTTTACATAAAAAAAACCATAAGCTATTTCTGTGCTGTTTTTAACCCCCTCGTCAGAACGCTGTTTCAACAGTCGTGGAGGATTGTAGACTCAGAAGTAAACGCCCACTGCTAAACAGACAGTTCTGTAGAATCGGTGGGCGGGGCTAAACAGACAGTTCTGTAGAATCGGTGGGCGGGGCTAAAGTGATATAGAATATGTGGGCGTGGCTAAACAGACAGCGATGTAGAATCAGTGGGTGGGGCTAAACAAACAGCGCTGTAGAATAGGTGGGCGGGGCTAAACAGACAGTGATGTAGAATCGGTGGGCGGGGCTAAACAGACAGTGATGTAGAATCAGTGGGTGGGGCTAAACAAACAGCGCTGTAGAATAGGTGGGCGGGGCTAAACAGACAGTGATGTAGAATAGGTGGGCGGGGCTAAACAAACAGCGCTGTAGAATAGGTGGGCGGGGCTAAACAGACAGTGATGTAGAATCGGTGGGCGGGGCTAAAGTGATATAGAATCTGTGGGCGTGGCTAAACAGACAGCGATGTAGAATCAGTGGGCGGGGCTAAACAGACAGTGATGTAGAAT